TCTCTCTCTCTATCTATCTATCTATCTATCTATCTATCTATCTATCTATCTATCTATCTATCTATCTATCTATCTATCTATCTTTGGCGTGTGCCTGGCTATCTAAGTCATCTCCATCCCCAACAAACTTTTTAAAATCTTTTACTTTGTAATCTCCATTCTGAACCCCCTCCTTCAATTCCGCCATGTGTCGCACGATATCCCCAGCGTCCGGGAGAGGCACACTGAAGAAAAATGGAGACCCAGCACCTAGACTGAGGCAATACACACGGCTGTGTGCCCACTGGTACCTTTTAATACTTTTCACGTTCCAGTGTTTTTCTCTCTCTCTCTCTCTCTCTCTCTCTCTCTCTCTCTCTCTCTCTCTCTCTCTCCCTCTCTCTCTTTCCCTCTCTCTCTTTCCCTCTATCGCACCCGAAAACAAACAGGCCAGCAACCAGTCATTGTTGAGAACTGATAGTGATAGACATAGCCTACTAAAAAGTATTCTTTTTTTGTTCAACCCATGTTCGATTTCCATTCTAAATTATTTTTACACTCGCCCCGAGTCTAAAATATCTAATTAACCAACCTTCTTTTCAGTTTACATCACAAATGTGCGTGGTTGGTGGGTGCTCTTGTGGGGTTTTGTTCGTCTTTCGTATCGAACACCTATCGCCCTTATCTCTCCTCTTTCTTTTCTGTGTTTGTTACCCTCTTGTAACAACTCTAATCTAGGGTATTTTTAACCCAGCAGGTTCGATAACATTCTGAAACAATCTCAACTTCCTGGGAAGCATACATTGCAAAGTGTCATTTTATGGGCGTTAAAGTACTAACATGATACTGACACGATCTTTTGCTATAAAACAAATGATAATGGGTTGCGCACAGAAAGGCGATATTCACTTACTTGACTTTATTGGCTTCGTTCGTCTGTGACTCCCTCAGCTTCATGACCAACACCCGGATGATGTTCAACAAAAAGAATAGATTTACCTGTCAAGAAATGAAGGAAGAGAAAACGCAAAAACGTTCACATTCCTAATTTCGTGAGCAGTGTCCTATTTTGGGGGCGCCTTATTTAGCTCTGATATCTACGTCATTCCAATACGTTGGACCAAGGTTTATGGGCCTTTGATCCTTGGAACATTCTGTTTGATTTGACCTGAAATTGTTTGAACAGCACCTCCTTGTCTAAGATATTGTCTTGCAGCAATGCACGAGCACTAAGGGGGAAAAAGACAAAATTCCCAAAAAGGTAGATTTTGCATAAATAAACATGCAGGCCTTATAGAATCTTTCTTCTTTTTTCGTTTCACCACCCCCCCCCCCTTTTTTTTTTCAAACCCCCCCCCCCCCCTTTTTTTTCTCAAATCGCCACCATACCCTTTATTTGTTCACCAAGGGAATAACATTCAAAATACAAAAAGTTTGAAGACCTGACACACTCCCTGGTACCTTATAAAGTTGGGTAATACCAAGAAAACATACACACTGTTTATTGGGATATCTAAAGTTAGAAAGCAATTGTACATACTTGAACTCCCTTTGGGAAAATAGAGACTCATGTATTTTTTTAAAAATCCCTGAGAAAAACCAGAGACAACTTTGATAATCACCATGGAAATTTTCAGCCCTAGTTCTAGTATAAGGTTAGAGAATGATGATAAAAGCTCTCATTTTAGCTCTGGCCGTGACTCTCGGACATATAACTTGCAACAACGAGGTTTCCTTACCACCATGACAGCCGTCCTGGGCCCTTCGATTATCCAGATGAGGGGCTTGTAATAGTAAGCATACCAACACCTGCAACCAAATGGACAAATACGTTAAAAAATATCAAGGGGATTGAATAGAAGCACACCAGGATTATAATAATATGATCTGATTTCGATATTTTTTGGCAAGGGAGGGCTCATGTACCGGAAAGAAAATAATACAGTTATACAATATGGACAGAAGAAGTGCACGATTTCTTACCTTACTTAATATTCTCTCAGTACCACGATCGCGCAAACACAGAAACACTGGCAACTAGCCTACGTGTGTGTGTGTGTATGTGTGTGTGTGTGTGTGTGTGTGTGTGTGTGTGT